CCCCAAGTTTCATGTCGTGCATAGCCAGAAAGCGAACAAAACAGTCCGAGAAATCTCACCTTTTCTTGTCTCGAAAACACTCACCGAAGCAATCTGCCCAGGATATTGTGTAACGAAGTTGGGAAGCGGCGACCTCCTTTTGGAGGTTCGCAACAAACTCCATTACGACAACTTACCTAAACTGGTAGCGTTTGGGGATGTCTCAGGGCCCACACAGGTCAATGAATATCGTGCGCTCTGTGGTCTCTGATGACGGCCTGGTTGGACTGTCCGAAAGTGAATTATTGGAAGCCTGGTCAAGGTCCAAAAAATAATTATACGACGGGACAAAAAGGAAACCCACAAAACACATAATCATCACCTTTGGTACCAGTGACTTACCTGATTCAATGGAAACTGGTTACTGCAAGCTCCGTGTTGGGCCCTATGTGCCAAGCCATCGCAGATGTTTCAGGTGGCAGCGCTTTGGACATAGGTCGCCAAGTTGCAGAGGGCGGAGGCGCATTACTTGCGCAAAATGTGCATCCAACGAGCACGCATCAGATTCGTATACCTCAACAACATAATGCTGTGCGAACTGTGAAGTAGACCATGCTGGTTACTCGAGATTGTGCCCAATCGGGAAGAAAAAAAAAAAAAACAAATCCTTGAGATTAAAGTGAAGTTCAATCTGTCCTTTCAAGAAGCACGTAAACGGTCCTCCATTCATCAGTCCCGTTCCTGCTTCGCCGATGTGACACGTCGCGCTGCATCTTTCCGTGCCCGCAAAAGTCGCACAGAGTGAGACTGTGGGCGCGCCACAAGCGCCCCCGGCTGGAGCAGCCAGTACTGCTCGGCCACCTAACAGGGCCAGCAGACTCCCCAGTCTGCCAGACCCTGGGCCACTGCAAGCACAGTGAGGCCCGAAAGCACCGTGAATGTCTGTCGAGCAGGCACCATTCACCATCTCACGAGAGGTGATGGATGAAAGTCCCACTCCTCAGGCGCCCGAAATGCTGAAGGAGAGGCGCAGCTCTCTGGAGTGCACTAAAAAAGAAAGGCTTTGATATACAGGGCCTCCTAAGGCCCTGTAACCTAAGGCAACACCTTTGTACACACAGCATTACACAGATGAAAAATTACACAAATAATACAGTGGAACGTTAAAAGGCTCCTGAAAAACCTCGATAATATTCAAGAACTTTCACACAAACATACACCAAAAGTGCTGTGTGTACAAGAGACACACTTGAAACCAAAACACACAAACTTTCTACGTTATTACGCTATGTTTCGAAAGGATCGGAATAATGCAGTCGCGTCATCCGGTGGCATCCCCATTGTTGTGGATCCAGGAACTGCCTGTACACATTTACCACTTCAGACGTCTCTTGATGCAGTAGCCGTTCGAGCCTTTATCTTGAACAAACTGGTCACAATTTGCTCTATTTATATACCTCCTCAGCACCAACTTAGTAAACGAGAATTCCAGACGTAAATTGATGAACACAGGCAGTTTGTTTTCTGGTGACAGACAGCACACAATAATCTCTATTGAATTGCCGTCCATGTGTCACCTACTATTGTAAATATCTGAACACTTCGTTTGTATACATTTGCATACTTTTACTCTGTTCACCCCACCATGGCTTTTGTTGTAGAATAGAACTGTAGAGGTTTGTGGTGTCTCGAATTGGCGAACGGGCGCCACGCCACGCTCTTGGAGTGAACGGATACAGCATACACGGTCGGAACAAACCAAACAACATATTTATTTAACTAATTTTAGAATGACAATATCGTCTGCCAAATTATTATAACATTACTGTGGTCATATGCTAAGCAACCTCACACATTATTCCAAACCATGACAAACACAATAACGCCCAAGGCGGCGTCGCCACCGCTTGACTTACCATGAGGTCTCCCGATGCGCAACCCGCAGTGTCACGCGTTGGGGATCCATGCTAGAGACAGCTGTTCGCGGCAGCATCCACGCAGTCACCCAAGTCAAACATTACGCGACGCTTCCCCTCCGAGCCGTGAACGCGCTCTTGCGTGAGCATCATGAACTCCCGTTGCCCCTCGTACGCGGCGCCATTGTAATTCTCAAGTGTATTCTTGTGTTTTTTTCTTCAGCAGCAGTTGCAGAGCGAGGCTGAGGCTAGCTGTTGCCCATTGCATGACGTCTTTGTATGCATGGGCGACAACCGACTGCCTTTGCAGACCGGTATATAGGGTGAGTTAAGGAGAGGAGGATGAGGGGATCTGAGACGTGCCCGCGGCCATTTAGCGGCATTCTGCCACACGGCCACACCCTTTTGCTTTTTCTGCTCTGATAACGGCGTGTGGCGATAGATGGCGCCACGTGCGGGTGCAGCATGCGGTGCGCGCACGCCGAGGGAGCGCACTCTTGTCCGTGGTCGGCGCCGGGTAAGCACGTGTTTTCTTTTGTCCGCGTCCCCTTTGGGAATCGCTGGACTGAAGCCTGCCTGGGGTTGCCTTGGGCACCTCGGCAGGCGTTTTTACTTGAGTGCTAGCTTCGGTACCGTTCGCTAAGCCCACAGCGGGTGCCTAGTGCTTGAAGTGGTCGTACCACACCGAGCCGCACTTGCCGTAGGCCTACGCGTACGAGGTTTGCCCTAACACTCGCGACCAGGCCCAGTGGACACCGTGAGAGTGCGTAGCATAGCCGCGAGGGACCTTTTCCGGACCGGCGTGTCAAAGCTCGCCATTGCCAGCTGCGACGTGCTCGCGGTTTTCCCCTTATTGTGAACGTCCACGTGCGGGTGTCTTTGCTACCCGCGTCCCGGAGCAGACGTTGTACTATTGTTCGGGGTGCCGCCAGAGGCAATAAAGTGTTGTGTATTTTGTATTAGAACACTGTCTGTTTTGCCGCACCGCGCAAAACGCCTTATTAGTTAAGCGCGCGCGGAGCGGCGCGCTACACGCAAGTAGGTGGTGAAGTCGCGGCCCTGTGGCTCGCTAAGTGTGAACCCGCGGTGATCATTCGCTGCAGTTAGTAGCGGGGTCACCATATTGTATATACCACCGCATCAACTTTTAACCGTTCATGACCTCGAAAGCCTAACAAGACCACTGCCACAGCCATTTATTTTGTCGGTGATTTTAACGCTCATTGTATTCTCTGGGCAGCCAAAGAACTCACCAGAGAGGGCATGTTATTGAAGATTTCATCCTTTCGACCAACATATGTCTTTTAAACTCTGGGGCACCAACATTTCTCGCCTACCTCCCGCAATTTTAGTTGCCTTGATTTAGCGTTTTGCTCGCTGTCCCTTTGTAGTGATTTTAATTGGGAAGTATGAGACACATCTTATGGAAATGATCACCTACCTCTCATCATCAAAATCACCTCTACATCACCCATCGTCAACCGTAAACCCTGTCGCTGGTTAATACAGCAGGCCGCCGGGCAGTTTTACTAAGAATGTTAAGCTTGAAAATGTGGTCTCACCAGATCTCAGCATCGATGAGATGAACGAACAACTAACCAAAACGTTGATAACAGCGGCTGAAAAAACGATACCCCAGTCTTCAAGTCACGTACGAAAGAATCGGAAGCCTTGGTGGACACCGGAGTGCGAACGAGCAGACTTCTTTTTACATGGAAAAAGCCAAATGGTCATCATGCTTTCGTCCATCCATCCCTTTTCATTCGCTTGTATGAGGACACCTGAAGGGAAGCAGTCCTTCGGCAGCGTCTTTCACCTAAATATGAGCATTGGTATAGTTTGGTTCCATTGGCACAGCAAGCAAGGACAAATGTAAAATGAGATTTTTCATGTCCTGTTGTTCGCAGCAGCACCGACTTGTCACCCTTTTGCGCAACAGTTCGTCCGATCAGAATGTCAAATGTCAATAGAATTTAGTCTATGTTGACAATGTGCTTCTCCGCGATCTCATTTTCGTCCACTTGCTTCTTCACGAACGCCTTGAAGTTATCCAGCTTTTCAGTGAAGTCTTCTGGCAGCTTTCGACAAAGCGTTGTGTGCGCTCTGATGCTCAAATAGTTGTGCTTCATTCATCTGAGGCACCAAGAAGGTCCACTGGCAAAACTAACAGCGCCCGTCTCCTGAGCCCACGTGCTCGCTTTCAGGCGCAACTGCACTGTTGACAATCCCCTGCCTTCAGCACGTTGTTCTAATACCCACGCGTGCAGGCGGGCTTCAAGTTGAGGCCATAGTGCTTCTCATAGCCTTCAGCTTCTCCTCCGACTTGCGCGACAATTATTACTGCTCAACTCGGTCAAATTGCAAATCTAACACATCAATTCAATATTTGGCTTGCAAAGTTTCTTTTTAGGACTTCGATGTTACTGTGGCATAATCACGAGGGGCAAGCACTTCTGTCAAGTTCGCCAGCCTAGTGCATTTTGACAACTACACACGCACACTAGTCGGCGCAAAAGTCTAAAAAATCACTACGTTGCCTAAATCGGCAAATTCAAATAGATTCTGAAAGTTGAGCGGCTGCACTAAGTACTAGAAAGTGCTGGGTGCACACGAAAAAAATCTAACAAGCCAAAATTGATGACAGAGAGGCGTCGATCACCGGTGATCGATTTGAATAGGCGTGCTAAGGAAAGAGTAAGGGAAGAGCCAGCTGAGACATTGAATTTGAACACGGAGAAACGCTCTTTCCAAAGATTCCAAACAAACGGCACTAGAGGCACCATTACAGAGCTCAGATTTTTCAAAAATTGGGTGGGTTTTTTTCGCGATTTCTGCAACAATTCTCACCGCTTTGGCAAGTGCAACAAATTTTCAAAAGCAGGTCTGGCGGTTTTAGTGGAAATATTTCGGGATTGGATAGGAGGGCTGCAGATACTGAAAAAGTGATTTTCAAGAAATCAGTTTTTTCGCCATTTTTTTTTGCACTACGAAAGCCGTGTTTTCCTTAAAAAAAAAAAAAAGGCTCTAGAAAGGCAGTTCTTTCATGCAGACCTTGCATTTTTTGTTGGTTTGTTGCTCACACTTCTAAACCACTGTATTTTACAGGACACAGAGTTTCCAGGAGTGGTGGCCCGGCCCATTGGGGAGTTCCGCAGCACTGCAGACTACCAGTATCAGCTGCTACGCTGCAATGTGGACCTTCTCAAGATCATCCAGTTAGGCCTCACCTTTCTCGACGAGCACGGAAACACACCCCCAAATTATTCAACCTGGCAGTTCAATTTCAAGTTCAGTCTCACGTGAGTGCCAGTCAGATAAGTGACATTCATTGTCTGTTGACAATAGCATTTCGAGTGAGCACCAATTGAAACTGCTGCATTTACTTGCATCTTAGCTGGCCTCGATTCTAGGCAGATTTTAAAAATTTGCCGGGCGAAAATGATATTCTCGTGCTACACGGTACCAGAAAGTAACATTGCGTTCTTAATGTCGTTGGACAGTGGCACAAGGGACACGGTCATAGTGTCTATGAAGTTCTGAAGGCACTGTATTTAGTGCTCAATAAACCTGGCTTGATGATGCACAGTTATGCACAATTGCAGATACTGTGCAACTTTTCCTTGAAGGTAGCATCACTCTGAAGATGAAATCAACCTTTATGGTGCAAGAGTTCAATAGCGACGCTAGGTAGTAGGCAGACAGCCGGTATGGACGCAGATACTCGAGCAGTTCAGCATCTACTGCTCGTGCACACGCTTGCGCTTGCGCGTCGCGTTCGTGAACCTCAGGTGGCACATGAGATGTGTGGTTTGGAGGCCGAAACGAATAGTCAGCGTGTCTTGGTGCGTTCACTGTGAAGCGCCGATGACATAGACGTGCAACGTGGCCTGGAATTCCGCAAAAGTAACATATGGGCCGGCTGTCAGCAGTGCATCAAGGACTTCCGGCGTGCTGCTGTGTAGCTGGAAACGGCGCGGTGGACGGTCGCACAGGTTGTGGCTTATACAATGGCAGATGAGGCAGAAGCATTGCTGCGACGGTTGCATAAGTCAGTGGCGCGACAACAGGTGTTGGTGGAGAGGCCGACGTAGGTAATGGCAACGCCTCGGAGACTTGCTCCTGAATAGCCTGTCTGATGGTCGGCATTAGGCGGTTCGTTGGTGCTTCGGTGGTCGGCAGATACGAGAAACGCGAAAGCCGTCGTGCGACCTCTTCGCGTACATATTCTTTTATCTGCTCCAGCAGGGTGCTGTCACCACCGACGGCCAGGGCAGGGTCGTCTGCTGTCGTCGACCTCCGAACTGATGCACGTTATTTGCGAATCTCTTCCAAGCTCTGGTACAAGGTCACAAGTTCGGATACGGTACTTGCGCCCTTCGGCAGCAACATTTGAAAGGCATCATCGTTTATGCCATTCAAGATATGTCTCATCTTGTCCTGTTCGGTCATCTCGTGTTTAAAGCGCCAGCATAAATCGATAACATCTTCAATATAGCTTGTGATGCTTTCGCCCTGCCTTTGTGCACATCCGCGTAGGCGCTGTTCAGCACGCAGCTTGCACACTGCGGGGCGATCAAACACAGCTGCAAGGGTGGTCTTGAAAGCGGGCTAAGTGGTAAATTCAGCACGGTGGTTTGTGAACCACAGGCTGGCGAGGCGACGTTTTTGAGATAAACAGGGACATACTCCAATTTCGAGGGGTCGTCCCCTCGAAATTGGAGTATGTCCTTTTCAAACAGGTGCAACCAGTCTTCCACATCTTGGTCCTCGATGCCGCTGAAGAAGGGGGATCCTGTTGGCGCAGGGTGGTAAGCACGATGACCAGTTGAGATTGGGTCGTGCTTTGCTGGGTGGCGCCTTGCTCGGTCATCTGATCAGGAGTTGCTGATCCAATTGGCAGCTTCTGGCTTCGAAGTTCCAGATTTGCGACGCCAGGTAATTGGCAGACGGCCGGTACAGACACAAATAATCCAGCAGTTCAGCATCTACCGCTCGTGCAAAAGCTCGCGCTTCGCACTCAGAGATCGTTTAAGTGGTCATGGCCTTGTGAATTCCCTATATAACGGGTACATTTACTGTAAAAGCCCACAATTAGCCAGGGTTTTCTTTCTACATTTTAGGGTACTCAATTACGTCCCCGTGCTTTTTGCGGGTCCCAAGAATTTTTGACTGCGCTGGGTGCTAGATAGTGTTAGTGACGGTAGCAGGCGTTAGTCATTCAGTCATTCAGCAGCGCATAGGCTGTACTCGTCTGCTTTTAAAAGGAAAGTTATCGCTGCCGCCAAAACCAAACACCATTGGCCACTGTGCTGCGAAGTGCACTTCGGAGTCTACGAGCGCAGTATTCGCGGTTTTTGGAAGATGGTCTTTTTGCTTGCAGCGGCCAGCAAAAAAGTTTCCGCAGACCAAAAAAATGAAGCATTTCCTGACGTGGAACGAATACTCCCAGACTTTGTGTGGGAGCAGCAAGCTGCACATTTCGCTGTAAACATTGAGCCACTACAAGCGAAGACGAGGGAGATTGCCTGAGACAAAGGCATTCAGCCGAAGGAATTCAAAGCAAACTAGCATTGGGTGGCTCTCTTCATGCGGCGGCGTATGTCGATCTCGCAGAAGCTACCAAAGAGCTATGAAGAGCACCTTGTGATGTTTCAAAAGTATGTCATTGCGTTGCAAAAGGCTTTTCAGCTGGGCCAGATCGGCAACGGGAATAAAAAGCCGGTCTACCTGGATGTGCCTTCGGCGCTGACGGTGCACCAGCAAGGCTCCAGGCAAGTTATCGTGTGATCGACTGGGAACGAAAAAACGCAGCTAACTGTAATGTCCTGCAGTACAGTCGGTCGCAAGCTACCACCCTACATGGTGTTTAAACGAAAGTCGCTGCCGAAGGAAGAGAAGTTCCCCCCAAAAAATATTGTCGTTCGCTTCCAGGACAAGGGGTGAATGGCGAATCACTACTGCTTGGCTGAATAATGTCCGCAAGGTGTTGATGGCCCACAGTGCCGCAGGGGTTTCCTTCGAAGCTTGTGCTTGATGGGTTTCGGTTTCATATGAACGATTCCGTAAAGGGACTTGCGCACACAGCTCGTCTTCATCCCGAAAGGCATGACATCACAGCTGCAGCTGCTTGATGTGTGCCTTAAGGGGGGAGGATACCCCGGAAACTGTACTTCTTTACTTTTTAAGATATCTTCATGAAACTATGAGGGCATGTTCGCTACATTAAAACTAGAGAAACTGCAAAGTTTCATGAAATCGTGTTCAGGCGTTTAGAGTTACTGAGGTCTAACTGGGTGCTTCACTTGTGTGCCTGAGGAAAAGCCGGAGGAAATCGCAGGACATACCAGAAGGCTGAAATTTTTTGTGGTCATCCCTGGATAGATGTCTTAGAGTACTAAAGAGCCATTTTTTTTTTTCAATTTTCCTTCCGAAAAAGCTTTATGAAACTTTGAATTTGATGTAGCCAGTAGGTATGACCTTTATCAAAAAATAATCGTTTATTAATTAATGACACCAATTAAAAAAAAAGAAGCTTGTTACACCCTGGCAAAATCATCCAGGAGCAGAATAAAAGAAACGGCCCACAAATCTGATCAGCAGTTCTTGAGAAATCGCTTCCCTCAGCACCTCAACTAGCTTAAAGTCCATTTTGAGAAAACGGGCTTTGAAAGTTCAGCACGTGTTTTCCTCAAAAAGCTCCAGCAAAGTAGCTTGAAGTGTCCTTGTGCACTTTTTTCCTCTTTTGTCTTCCCTCCATCATCTCTAAGTGCCGTTTATTTTTTCAGACGTAGGGCATCTTTTTAAGAGCCAGCTACATCAGTTCAAATTTTTTCGCGTCTCTGGCGTAAATTCGAGTTCAGCGCAAACAGCGTCTCGAGGTCTCGCATTCGCATCGATTTCTTCCTAGTTAAGAAATGCATCCTCAGATGAAGGATCGACGCCCCATGCACGCTATTTGTCCCAACGCAGACGAAGTGCTGGTTCTGGCGATCTTAGCAACAGTCGGTGTCACGCTCGACGGTACCGATTCATAGCATGTGCTGGATCCAGCGATCTCGGACACGCTTGATGTATTCGCGGCTCCAGGTACACACAGTTTGTCGGATTCTGAACTTGTGGCAGCCGACAGCACAGTTTGGCTGGCGCAAGCATCTACGCACTGGGCCTTTGCAGCAGAAAAGCGAAATTATAATTCTCATTCCGCGCTCCGAACTAATGCAACGTCTTACGCTTCGTTGCCGGCATCATGATCAGCAACAAACATACAGGGGACAGAACTCGTGTGAAAATAAAAAAAGGAATAGAAACTGATTGAAAATACAGCGCGAGGCAAAAAGCGGCCCATAAGCAAACGTCTATCGAAGCGAACGGAGCATAGAGCAATAGCGAGACAAGCGTGCCGGTCATGCCATCACTAGGAAGGACTGCTTCCGCTTTCAACGCAGCAGCCAATGGCAGGTAATGGGCGCGAGTTCACACCTCGTGACTACGTTTGTAAAAAACGCTTCTTGGATGGCACGCGCGACTGCGCTCCCTCCTTAGCCTGTCGCCGCTCACAACGCTCGAGCCCACTCCTCACGTCGGCATCATCTCCACACCCGTGTCACCTCTCTCCATCTGTCAGCGAGAAGCCACGGGTAGGCGCGCTGCGCCCTGTCGTCTAGCCGGCCGTGGTCACACGGCGCCGGCAACGTGGACAGCGCGTCGTTTGCTGCGCGATCATGCCGACAGGTGGGACGCCGCCGGGCATGCTTCCCACTAGTGTGCGCGTACCTTTCACTGCCATCGTCGGTGTGGGGGGTTAGCGAAGCCGACCGCGTTCGCGAATAGCGACGTCGCGCCTGGAACACCTACGAGGCGCAAGCCAGGGAAGCCGAACGTAAGCGTCGGCAATGGAATACCAACGACACTTGCAAGGTGCGAGACAGAAACACCAATCGCGTTCGAGAATAGTGTCGGCGTGCGGGTAACACAGACAAGATGCGAGCTGACGAAGCCAAGCACAAGCGTTTCAATGTGTCCCTCCTCCAGTGTCTTTGCATTTCAAACAATAGTTTACTATAGTAAACGCTACACAGAGTTTCGCTTCAAACCGTCCCTCCAGCACCCGCGTTAAAGCCCGTTTCAACCGGGTCAACGCCGTGCGCACCGCTGCTGCTTCGCATCCCATCAGGGCTCTCTTCGGGGCAACGGTTCATACCGTAATTACTCGAATCTAACGCGCACCTTTTTTCCGGTTTAGCGAGTTCATAAATCGCATGCGCGTTAGAATCGAGCACGAACAAAAAAATTTTGGTCAATCTATTGCCATCGCAAAATCCAAAATGGCCGCCCCCTACGTGCGTCGACATGGCGCGTCGGCTATTTCTGCCTATGTGTTTCCCATGTACGGCACTTCGTACGTGTGCTGAGGAGTTCGCCATCTAGTAGTGCATTAGCATCGACGGCGTGGAAGGGCCGACTCCAAAAACTCGAGTGCTCCACGATGTCGCTTTTAAAAGAAAAGTCATCGCGTGTGCAGAAACGGACGGAAATCGGGCCGCATCGCGGTCGTTCGGAGTTCCCGAAACGTGCGTGCGGGACCGGCGGAAACAAAAGCAGAAGATTGTCGACAGCAAAGCTGCTCGCAAAGGCTTCAGTGGACCACAACAGGGTCAGTTTCCGCAAATTAAAGAGCTGCTCGGCGAGTATGTGCTTGAGCAGCGAGCGGCACAGCGGCCCGTGACGACAGAACTGCTCCAAGTGCGGGCTATGCAATTAGTCTTAGAAAAAGGTCTAATGCGGAGCCAGTTTTAAGCGAGCAGGTGCTGGCTAACTAACTTTATGAAGAGGAAAGGCTTTTCCCTCCGAAGGGCAACATGCATATGCGAAAAGTTTTGCGGAGGAGTACGATGAAAAGCTTCACAGTTTTCAGAGGTTCGTCCTAAACTTGCGGCGCAACAACGGCTACCTGCTTGGGCAAATCGGGAATGCCGATCAGACGCCTCTTTATTTCAACATGCCTGGCACCACAACCGTCGAGAAGGGGGTGAAGCAAGTTCGAGGGCTGACATCGGTCCACGGTAAAACTACAGTGACGACAATGCTCTGTTACACGTCAGATGGGCACAAGCTTCGCCCGTACCTCATATTTATATGGAAGACGCTCCCGAAAGGAGTCGTTTTTTTGAGTGGTGTGATCATGCGGGCCAGCGAGAAAAATGGGTGCGCGTTGCAATCGATGTCTTACGTTTTTTTTTTTTTTTTTTCGCGGTGGAAATCTGGTTTGCGTTACAATCGAGGGCGCGGTAGAATCGAGTAAATACGGTAGTTTTTTCTTTTCAAAGCAGCTTCCTGCAGTGTTGTAGCTCTGTGGTTGAACTGCTAGCTGCATGCCATGAAGAATGCGTGGTTGCTATTGCTACTTAAAACCAATTTCGGGATCACGGACAATGCTGATTTTTCATTTCCAACCAATGACGAGGACGCCAACCTTTCTGCAGAACGAGCTCTTTCACGCTGTCCTGTTAAACCTTCGAGCTGGCGAAGACGCAGGGAAACCCACCTAGTTGTATGTTAAGCACAAACGGTGAATCGGGGCGAAGTGGCCTTTAACGAGAGCGTGGTGAGAGCGATGTGCACGTTTTTCCTCCTCCGTCAGTAAGTTTTACGACAGGGGGCACGTAAGTGCTGTGCCCGATTTCGTGACTTCTTTAGGGTGCCTAAGCGAGCGCAGTTTCGCCTGCTCAAGAATTCTTGCTCCGTGCTCTAAGTTCATAATACTTATGTAAGTGATATCACGCTTTAAAGGAGATAATTGCACTTTCATAAGCCGGAAAAGTTACGCCTGCTCAAGAATTCTTGCTCCCTGCTCTAAGTTCATAATACTTATGTAAGTGATATCACGCTTTAAAGGAGATAATTGCACTTTCATAAGCCGGAAAAGTTAGACCTCGATCTGGTCAAAAAGTGACGGAAACATGTTCAGACTCAAAGTTGCTAAAAAATGCATCTCGAGGAAACTCGTTTTAAGCGTGCAAATGAAAGTTTTTCGTTGCGGGAAAGATGTGATTTTTGAAATGATTGCTTCCATTATGAGATATTTGGAACTATGGTTATTTTCAGCATGTGGCTTTGGTGAACTCCTCATGTGAGGTGCAATGGCAGGAACCCAGGTGACGTTCCGAAGTGTTCTGTCTCGGGCGAGTGTGCTATTCATGGATTTGAATAATATTACCGCTGCACATATGAAAAAGGAAAAGATAAGACGTCGTGAAAGGTAGCTTTTGAATAGCATCTCCCTTTAAATGCCAGTGTAGTTTGTTTCTGGTAAGTCCACGATGTACCCGCATATACTAAATTTACAAGAATGTGTCGATTCACCTCATAACTCTTGGTTTAGAGCCATAAAATGCAGCATAATAAATTACTCAACCGTTTTGCATGAAATCTGCCTAATTTTAGTTTTCCGGCATTTCAGGCTCTTGTTCCTTTCTGCAGACATGCAGGAGTCCGATTTGATGGCTTTTACCAGTAGCATGGTGTGGCAACATTGTTATAAGTGGGTTTGATTGTGGCAACACGAGTTAATTTTTTTTGCTCCAGGGAGGACATGTACGCGCAGGATTCCATTGACCTGCTTACCAACTCCGGCATTCAGTTCAAGAAACACGATGAAGAGGGCATCAATCCGTACGAGTTTGCTCAGCTTCTCATGACATCGGGAGTGGTCCTGTCGGACAATGTCAAGTGGCTTTCCTTTCACAGGCAAGTGCACTGTCCTTGGGTGAGGCGATGCTGATGCAGACTTTACCTCTGTGCGCAGTGGATATGACTTTGGCTACATGCTGAAGTTGCTGACGGACCAAAACCTGCCCGTGGATGAGTCAGAATTCTTTGAGTTGTTGCGAATCTACTTTCCGGCCATCTACGATGTGAAGTACCTTATGAAAAGTTGCAAGAACCTGAAAGGAGGCCTGCAGGAGGTGGCTGAGCAGCTAGAGGTGAGTTGTGGTTGGTTGGTTTGCATGCCAGGGCTACCATGTGCTCATATACTTGGTGCAGTCAAACTTCATTAGTACATTCTCCACTTTAGAAATACTAACAGTAAACACATACAGTCGAACTTTGGTTATACTTCCCCCGGATTCGTGACGACTCTCATTTTACGACAAATCGGTTTGGTCCTGGCAAAGTCGTCATTGAAAAAATGTATTCAAAATTTTGGTTATTCTCGAGTCCAAATTAGCACTCACCACCTAGCGGCCATGTCTGGAAATGGCGCTACCGGTGTCAACCCTGAAAGGAGACATAATGCTACGTTGTGCGCATTGAGAAGTGGCCGCATAGTTGTTTTCTTTTCGCCACGTTGCATGTGCGAGCCCGAAAAAGAAGAAAGCGATGTCCAGAGCATCGCAGTGTATCACCACGGTCGCTGGATAAAAAAAAACAAGGTGTGGCCTGTTGCATCACGTCGCCGGCGATGCGCGAGCGCGTCTAGGTAGAGTTGACAGTTTTGGCTGCTTTTTGGGGGAGGGCGCTGATGCTCCAGCCGTCAATGAGGATGGCACTTCATGTTTCAATGTGGTTGCGTGAGGATTTGTGCATATCCGTTTCTCGTGCTTTTTTTTGCGTGTGATCGTGTGTGGGGGGCAGTTAGTCTCATGTTTTCTGTGATCAAGTACGATTCTTTGGTGCGTGCATGTGTAGCGGATGGTTTCTTTGTGGTATGACACCGCGAAGCTGTTCTGTGCCGCTGAGCATCTCGAATGCTAAAAAAAGACGCTACGTCAAAGTACAGCATATTCCCCTGCGATCTACAGCTTCAAGATGCATATTATTCGTAACACAGCATTTATTTTTGTCACAAACGAGCGCTGAAGCAGACGCAGGCCGCCGCCTCCAGACAACGGCATCAAATCATCTTGACACACATTCCCTTTATGGACACGCACAAGGAAACAAGAAAACAAGCATTAAAAGTCCCCAAGGCATGCCCTTACCCTCTACACACGCGACAGCCAACCAGCAAAGATGAGAAAAAATCGACATATCAAAGTTGGGCTTCTCTTGGAGGCAACAGTTTTCGCAGACGAACCAGCAAGACGAAACACTTTTCCCGGGTTGCCGCTTTGGTGTGTGCTGCACGCAGTACAATTACTTGGAATGTTTGCAAAACCGGGAAGGATCCAAACTAGAGATGTCGGAGGGTGGGACAGGTGGTGAACATCGGCCAAGTTGTGATGTTCGAGCGGTGTGAATGAGTCGTGTAGTGCAGCCAGTCGATATTGAAGAATCGAGTCGTGACGCCGCTGGAGTACTTTGTTCAAAAGTGTCGCCGGGACGATGACCAGTGCTGGAGTTCGTTTCAGTGTTTCCTTGAAGAGAAATTTTCGAGACATGTTTGAAGAATTGTGGAGCACACGCGTGTGGTGAATATTTGGGGCCTCTAAGTGTTTTTGCAGAGTTACCGTAATTACTCTAATCTAACGCACACCTTTTTCCGGTTAAGCAAGTTCATAAATCACATGCGCGTTAGTATCGAGTACGAACAAAAAAAATTACGGTCAATCTATTGCCATCGGCAAATCCAAAATGGCTGCCCCCTACGTGCGTCGGCCATTTCTGCCTATGTGTTTCCCATGTGCGGCACTTTGTACGTGTGCTGAGGAGTTCGTCATCTAGTAGTGCATTAGAATCGATGGCGTGGAAGGGCCGACTCCCAAAACTCGAGCGCACCACGATGCCGCTTTTAAAAGAAAAGTAATCGCGTGAGCAGAAACGGACGAAAATCGGGCCGCATCGCGGTCGTTCGGAGTTCCCGAAACGTGCGTGCGGGACCGGCGGAAGCAAAAGCAGAACATTGTCGACAGCGAAGCTTCACGCAAAGGCTTCTGTGGACCACAGCAAGGTCGGTTTCTGCAAATTAAAGAGCTGCTCGGCGAGTATGTACTTGAGCAGCGAGCGGCACAGCGGCCCGTGACGACAGAACTGCTCCAAGTGCGGGCTATGCAATTAGTCTTAGAAAAAGGTCTAATGCAGGGCCAGTTTAAAGCGAGCAGGTGCTGGCTAACTAACTTTATGAAGAGGAAAGGCTTTTTCCTCCGAAGGGGAACATGCATATGCGAAAAGTTTTGCGGAGGAGTACGATGAAAAGCTTCACAGTTTTCGGAGGTTCGTCCTAAACTTGCGGCGCAACAACGGCTACCTGCTTGGGCAAATCGGGAATGCCGATCAGACGCCTCTTTACTTCAACATGCCTGGCACCACAACCGTCGAGAAGAAGGGGGCGAAGCAAGTTCGCGTGCTGACATCGGTCCACGGTAAAACTACAGTGACGGCAATGCTCTGTTACACGTCAGATGGGCACAAGCTTCGCCCGTACCTCATATTTAAATGGAAGACGCTCCCGAAAGGAGTAGTTTTTTCGAGTGGGGTGATCGTGCGGGCCAGCGAGAAAAATGGGTGCGCGTTGCAATTGATGTCTTACGTTTTTTTTTTTTTGCGGCGGAAATAGGGTGCGCGCTCCAATGGAGGGCGCGGTAGAATCAAGTAAATACGGTAATGATGCGTGAGATTGCATTTCTAGCGTGGTAAGTTTGTTCACTTTGTTTTAAATACCTTCTAAGTGATTTTCTGAGTTGTACTTAATAGCTATAGAGCGTGCAAGTTTGTGTGATGCCTTTGCTAAGAATACATATTTTGTTTGTGCCGTAAACTCTTGCTATTTAACTCGGGTCTTTGGACTGTAACCGGTGTTGTTAATGCACTAAAAGAACCTGCATTTAAATTATGTGTGTTTTCACTGTGCGTTTCGGTGGGCTGATACGTGAACCCTTGAAATATGCCCGGCGATTGCCTCTCCGTGAATGGAATCACTGACCCCTTTTCACTTCGGGTGAGTCCTACGAGCAGTATTCATGGAGCGTGTTGAGGCCTATACTCCACAAATTATTGGCCCTCCTAGGGCAAACTGTTCTCATATGTGGCGTAATAGGTACTCCTAATAACGGGTCAGAATCGAACCTGTGACCCTGTGATGTGCAGCTAGGAAACACGTTGTATACGCCCTGCTGTGGCGTGTAGAAATTTGTGTGAAAGCCTTTCTCCTGGGAGAAGTGGTGGCACCTGGGTGGGCACAAGGTGAACTAGGCCTGTCCCGCTGCTTATGGCGGCACACACCAGACAGCGCCTCCAGCGGCTGTAATATAGCAATGCGTGGCATCGTGGTGGAAAACATGGCAACATATCGTTTTATCATGTTTTGATGGATGCAGACGGAAAAAGATGCAAATCGGAAACTTGCGCATTGGAATAAAGGTGACGGACACTAGGGTAGTTTGTTCTAATCAATTTACTCTCGACATCATAATTCTCCTCGGTGAGTACACCATAAATAAGCTTGTGTGCATTTTTATCAATATTCGGGCTTCTCTAAGTACGAGGTATAGTTTCGTTTATACTATATAGTACGTATAATTTCGTTTATATAAGCAAGTGCTTTAAGAAATTCATTCTGTTACGTATGTGGCTGTATTCATGCTGGTTTTCTGTGCAAGTCCTAGTCCTACCCATTCTCAAATAAGCTGCTGTAGTCCTTCTCCCCGAATATTATTAAGCTGCAGTAACTCTCCCTCTCCCCCTCCTGAATGTTTTTGATTTTGCGTGTCTGTATAATCACACACATAAACGCGTGCAGAGGTCGCGCATGCGTAATGTGCGCGTATGTAAGTTCGTGCATGTATGCATCATGTCTCATGTCTGTGCATTCTTAGCGTGCATATTGCACGTGCATATATCGTATTTACTTGCATAATCCTCTCACTCGCATAGTTCTCGCACCCTCCACATCGCCCAACAAAAATACGATTTTCTTTTTCCTCGAGTAATTGACGCACCCCCTAAAATTGGGCAATAATGTCTGCTTGTTCCAGTTGATGATGATAGCGTGCACCATGTGACGCCATGTCTAAGGCATTAAGCGTACTATTATTGCTTGGAGATTCAATCCAATTTTGTATGTTGTGTCGGTAATCTTGTCACGTTATGGGGCGATACTGAAGCTACTTGGCTGCTTTCAAGTTGAAAGGGTGTGGGGTCTTGAAATGGCGAGCGAGCTCCACACCACGCTCTTGGAGTGAACGGACACAGCAGACGCGGTCGGTACAAACCACACACATACATTTATTTATCTAATTTAGAACGTCCGCCGAACCGATACATCAATTTTTATCAACACACGAAGTCATCATTACGCAAAATTACCACACACTTAAACAACATAACACAAGAGCACACAAAAGGCGGCATCGCGAACGCTTCACTCACCACGTGGGCCTACCGCAGGCGGCCCGCGGTGCCGTCCACGGCAGACCCACTGGGAGAGGTTAGGTTGGGTTGGGTTGGGTTAGGTTAGGTTCGTAAGGCACATGCCCGCCTCGCACACACTCGAGCGCATAATGAGCGCTCGCTCTTGCCTGGGGGTCGTCGGAGCCACGAGCGTGCTGCCGCTGCTTCATAGGCGGCGGGGCCACTGCAAAAGATGCACGCTCATGCTGAAATGACAAAATCCAGGGCGAAATTTGTAGATTGTTTGTGGCAAAATTTGTTATATCAAGGTTGACTCCTGCTGTTACTTTGTTACATAGAGGTTGCAAATACATGTGCTTCTTTGGAGTAACGGCGGGAAATAGAAACACTAGCTATATCGAGAAATTCGCTATATGGAGGTTTGTTATAAGCAGGTTTAACTGTACTGCCAACTTGAACAAGTGAGTGTTCGGAAGCACACAACCTTATTCTTTAGAAACCTAATACATGGATTGGCGAACGTAAATAAAGGAGCGCTGCTATTACAACTGAAACTACAATTTGCCTTATCTGAAGATAGACTGGCCTAGGCATAGCTCCATTCTGTTATCAAGTGCCTCGCCGCGATCGTCTAGTGGCTAAGGTACTCTGCTATTGACCTGCGGGTTGCGGAATGGAATCCCAGCTATGGCGGCTGCATTTTCCATGGAGGTGAAAATGCTGTAGGCCTATTTTCTATGGAGGCGAAAATGCTATAGGCCTGTGTGCACAGATTTGGGTGCGCATTAAAAAACCACAGGTGGTCGTAATTTCTGGAGCCCTCCTTTACGGCATCTCTCATAATCATATGGTGGTTTTGGGACATTATACCTCATGTATCGATTTTTTGATCAAGTGAACGGCATGCGTATTTAGCTTTTGCAGCACAACGGAATCCATGGGATACATGCAATTGGCAGCACGAGTTACAGCGTAGTCACCTCGAAAACTGATAAGGCCTTACATGTAGCAGTATAGCAGCGCAGCACAAAAGTGCTGCCACCTTCAGGAGAGTTGAGTCAAATTGGCCCAACTGTTGTCGGGTCTTGGCTGGTAGAGATCCACCATTCGAGAGGGTGTCGCCCTTTCTCGTGACCTCTTGTTCTTGGCCCACTACACATGAGAAGTTGCCTAGATAGGTTCTTCAACTTGAAGTAAATTTAATGCAGTTCGCTGAAGAGCCTCGATGTTTGCTTGCATAGCGCAACTATTTACGCTGTTTTTCCAGTGAAACCCTTTTTGCCAATGGGGATGAGGCAGTCCTTTCCTTTCGACTTCGGCAAAGCAACACGATCGAACAACACAATCAAGAAACTTCTGCACAGTGCCAAACGAAAGTGCCGCGCTGACCCCGTTGAGCGTAGCCCTCCTTTTTTTTTTTTTTTTTTCGACCATTGTTGTCAGCACACGGAGAATTTTCTGGAGATCTGTATACAAGGCAGTATGCCGTCCGAAAGAAAAAAAACTACCTTTACTTGAATCAAACATCATCCGAATATTTATGAGAGCAAAGTATGAAAGTGCGTTTTCCCTAGGTTGACAATTAGAAAAGTAAACATACAAGATGTCTTCTTAGAATCGAAAATTTATTCTCCTGGATGTTCGTAAGCTTTTACATACACCTCGACCACAGGCGAATGTATTCAGGGTCATTACCTAATAAAGCTCTATCCACGCAGAGTAGATTCAGCAGGCTGAAAAGCTGATAATTTCACGTTTGGAAGCTTTTTCTGGTGGATATACAGCTGACCTCCTGCCTTTAATGCACTCGCAGTCACAGGCTTGCGCACGCGTAAGGGAGCGATTTAGGTCTTTGTACCATGTAAAATTACGTTCACTTGACATCAACATTCATAATAACAGCAAGACATCACTAGTTACAGTTCACAAGCTAACAAATTACAACACACACAGCTCAGTCACGCACAAAGGCATTCTACACGAATTCGTGGTCCGTCGCCATTATGCGGCAGTGATGACACTGCTGATGGGAGGGTGTTGGCAATGCGGTTTCAGTTTTGTTTTGACACGTAGGCATTTCTCAGGCTGTATATCGGTAAAAAGATGCGCGTTAAGTTCGATTATTTTTTAGAATTGATAATAGACTCGCTCGCACCTCCTCCAACTAAGTAATGCAGCCATTAGCTACTACTGGCAAGAATAATTTATTTTACCTTCCTTGCAGAGGCACGAGGTTGTGCTGTGAGCTTATTCAGGAAGTCTGTACCAGTTTTTTGGGCAAGGTTGAGTGTCGCTGCGTGTAATCATAGTTTTTCGATGATATTTTTCGTGGCACTCTGAAGGTCGTACAACCGCCCCGCCGCGGTGGTCTAGTGGCTAAGGTACTCGGCTGCTGACCCGCAGGTCGCGGGATCAAATCCCGGCTGCGGCGGCTGCATTTCCGATGGAGGCGGAAATGTTGTAGGCCCGTGTGCTCAGATTTGGGTGCACGTTAAAGAACCCCAGGTGGTCAAAATTTCCGGAGCCCTCCACTACGGCGTCTCTCATAATCATATGGTGGTTTTGAGACGTTAAACCCCACAAATCAATCGAACCCTAGGTGGTCGAAATTTCCGGAGTCCTCCACTACGGCGTCTCTCGTAATCATATGGTGGTTTTGGGACGTTAAACCCCACATATCAATCAATCAAGGTCTTACAACCGGGGTTCCACTGTAGCTGCGACGAATCCTCGACAGATTCTCATGGAGACTAATGCATTTGTGGACCGCTTAATTCTTTCGTTACTGCGAGACAATGATTATTTTTCATGTCTTGGGAAAATAGTTTTTGCTAGTTTGAAAAGTACTCAAGCACATGCTGCAGGATACCAATTTTTCACGTTGAAATGCTCTTCCCCCTTCCAAAAAAAATACATGTTTTTGGGCAACAAAACTATTTTGCAAAGAATGAAAATATCAAAAGTGTGAAATTTCTGGTTGCCAGCTGGTAAGCAGTGTAATAAAGACACATTATATGCAAAAATATTGAAAACGAAGAAATTCAGAATATACATTTTGAAAAATTTGAAGACCAAGGAACAGTATAAAAAATAATAAATTTAGTACAAAGTGTATTTATTCATGTAGACAAATAAAATCAGAAGAGATTCTGTTTTATTACCTATGCCATGCAGCGATTCATTGCATGATTTTTCGTGAAGCAGGAGTAACTCTTGCACTTTTCACAGTAGTAAATATTTGTTTTCTCGCTTCTTTTTTTTTTTTGCGATAGGATACTGCAGGTATTTATTTCATTGTAGATGGATGCGCATGATGTGAATAATCCCTCTGTAAATCAGATGTGCAATGAACTTCGCTATTTCGTCTATTGTCACCTCTTTCCATGAGCCAAGTCACTCCGCATAGGTTGGGGTTCCAATATATGCATCCAAGCGTAATTCTTTGCATTTTTGCACATCGTAATAAAAAAAAAGAACAATGCAGTTCTAAAATGCCTCGCACTGCTCCCTAGTCAGGGCCAAGATTTGCTCCGGTTGTCTTCTTGTCGTGAGGAGAACCTCTGCAGCCGAGGCCAGCATACCGCACCCTAGCGACATGCGTACCTCGCACGTAACCAGAGTAGCTATAAAATTGTACACAAAGATCAGCAGCTATGCACTTGCAGTGGTGGAGACAACTTGAGGTCGTAAACAAAACTAACACGAACGGCTGCAGACGTCTCAGACTCACTTTAAACATAGTGCCATAAAATTTGAAGCTGAGGTGCTGACATTGTCGGATTCTTAACATTGTCAGATTTTCGTCGGATTCATTGTCGACGTAATTCACTTCAGGTGCAGTTGCCACACAGTTTAGAGCAGCGCACGTTTTTTGTAGCGCAGGTACACACCCATGCGCGCATAGCTAGGATGCCACAGAAGCTACTAGTGACACTGGATGCGACCCTCAGTTTGATATAACAATACAAGTGAAACCGAAACTGCCGGAAACTGCCAGAGGAAGTACCATAACACTTTATACATGTCGTGGACCTTGAGAAATATTTTTGTAGAATACATTTTTCCTCATTCCTAGCAACAGGCCAGTGCTGGGGCCAAGGGCGTCTCTTCAAATTGACAAGCTTTTACTACCAAGGGGTTCCCACTCCTCGGTCGCTGATGAGTTAACACGACCAAACAAATTATCTGTGCTCAGTGTGTCATCCTTAATTTCGAATGCAATATTAATCGTTATGACAATTTCATTAGGACAAAGAAGACAATTCACAGTATTGCGTACTAATAAAAGGGCAGGAGCGCACCTAACTTGGCATGCTGCTGCCCGAGAGAAAAGCAATGGCGAATTTCTTTGAATTACATAGCAGTTGTTCCAATGGTGCTTTTACTCCTTTCATCATATATAGCCTCTACATCATCACTGTCATCAGTTCTAATACACAGGCGTTCTTGTGAAATTCTGATTGGTAAACATATGTACGGGAGGATGTCCTTGATGGAATTACGGCATTTTATTTGTATAACCTTTCTCTTTTTATGTCAGGAAGCCAAGGGTTAGGAGTACCAGAAGAATGTCTGTGTAAACATTCCATGTTCAATAGCTTTAAGTCCATCAGCGTAAGGGTTGCACGGGATGTTATGGTAGACACATTCTATGTGAATCTGCTTGCTTTGCCCCACAGAGCTCTTTTATTGCAGCTTGAACGTATCGGGCCACAACACCAGGCGGGCAGTGACAGCTTGCTTACCGGCGCAGCCTTCTTCAAGATGCGAGAAGTAAGTGCTCCATGGATCCAGACTAGAATTCACGATCACCTTTGCCTCTTGCGTCATTTGCTGGGTCAGCACAAGTAGTAAGGCTGCCAACACAAACCTTTGATGCAGTGGGAAAGTGTGTAGTTTTGAGTCTTGTGGTCCGGATGAGAAAATGTACCAGGGCTATGTGCTGTTCTCTAGAAGATCTGCAGAAACGAGAGTGTTGTTTTGCAATAAAGTGTTAAGTGAAAAAAGCAATATCTACTTTTTGATTCATCTGAATGCCTTGAGTATGTGCATAAAAGAAATTGCACTGCAGTGGTGTTACAAGAGCTTTATTGGCAGAAGTAAAAAAAAAAAAAACCTGTGAAATTGTGAGTGAAATATAGAAGTATATAACTTCAATATAACAAAAGTTGGTAAAATTCCCAATTTTTCTTGCTTGTATTGAAATCTTGTCATTTGTTCAAGTATAAAGCCGTTGCTAGTTAGCGTAATAGGGCATTCAAGGAAAGATGGTTATGATGGTAATCAGTTTTCATGAACACTAAAGCAGGTGTATGTCATTTGATGTGCACCATGGTCATCAATGTAAGCTGTGCATTCATTATGGTCCCTAATTGCACCGCATGCTTTGCACTCCATGTACATGTAGCATGCGTCGAAAAAGAATTTTTCCGGCAAGCAATGGTAACAAATGTGAGTGTTACATGAAGTAGGGCTAGTGCATCGCCTGCTACGGCGGCGCTCCACGGAACTTGCTCACGGCAGCTTTCTTGTTCTTATCAAACTTCAACATTTAATATGCTTCCAGTTGACTTACTGCTTATGTGGATACAGACAAGGTGGCCTGCAGGCTTTACTCAATGGTTCGCTAAGAATAGATGTCCAGCCTATATTTCAGCTGTCTGCATTGCGTTAAAGGGCCAGAAATTGTTACAAAGAGAAATGTGTGCACTTTTGCGATGTAAACATGCTGCCGAAAGAAATTTGCAAATACGTGCTATGATATAGAAGTTACAGGGTGTTACGTTTGGCTCGGCAGTTCGTCTTAGCAGACACCATTGTTCATGAGCCGGTCTGCGAGAAGGCTTTCACTCCGATATCGGCGCCCGGTCGATAAGCAAGACGCTGTCCTGCAGGAGGGCCAGGTAGTTTGCTGTGGCCAGGCTACGAGGAACTTGATAGAAGCTTTGGGAACAACCCTTTTGTTGAACGGGTTCGAATAGCGTGAGATGGCATCGCTGTTGCAGTTCTCATGAAGTCAACCTCTTCAGACAGCCATTGTCACCTACGCGAAGTCAAGACAAAGAACCTTTAGTTCAGAAGTGTGGGAAGGCGTCGCAGTCGAGTTCTCGGGGATCGAGCACCTGGCCTGCCGAGTTCAAGAAACTTCTGGAATCCTGTACCTCAATGGTTTTCAGCCATGGATGTGTCGGGGATCGCTTGTGGACTGGTGGAAGTGATGGGGGACCCCTTGCAGCGCAGTGGGGGGAGGGGGGGATACGTAGGTAAATTAACGCAACTGGAGTGTGAAACGTGTACCTTTTATTCCCACCACAAAATCAAATGAAAGTGCCACATCACTTCATTTTGTACAGTTCATCAATACGTGGCACAGTCACGCTTGAAGAAAAATGCGGATGAATGTCTGGCAAATCATATAAATTGCCTCCCAAATTCTCAAATGGAGGCCCGCAAACCCCTATTTGAGCTGAACGCAGCCATGAACTGCTGCTGACGTGCGTGTCAGCGGCCATCTTCTCCCCAGAGAAGCTCGACTTTCCCTCTCCACCTAACTGTACCCCTTTGCCCTACGAAGTCTTCAAGGCGCGGGTCAGGTGCATCATTGTGTGGTGCGCTCAGGGGGTCCACGAAGCCATTCTCAAATGGAGGCCTGCAGACCCCTATTTGAGAACCATTGCTGTAGCTGAACGCAGCCATGAACTGCTGCTCACGTGCATGTCAGCGGCCATCTCCCAGAGGAGCTCGACTTTCGCTCTCCACCTGACTGCACCCCCTTGCCTTACGAAGTCTTCAAGGCACGGGCCAGGTGTGTCATTGTGTGGTGCGCTCAGGGTACCTATTGGACACTTGCGCCCGTGTTCCTCATCAGCCGAGTGGTCCAATATCTACACCCTTTCTGGTGGGTGGATCACTGAAGCTTAACGTCAGTCACCTGATTCTTGGCAACAGTGGTCACCCCTTTCTTCGGACTGACAGGTACAGGAAACGACGGGCTATACAAGCCAAGACATTTGTAAATAAGAGCTGAATCATTTTACAGTTTCATCCTTCTTCCATCATGTAAATAAACCTTCGTTCTGTCTCCAAGAATGCGTCTCCTCACTGGGAAAGATCGGCTGTGCAGATGACGGAGGGGAGCCAGCTACCGTAAAGAAACCCGCCATACCTGCCATTGAACTTCGAGCCCTTTACAAGGAGTTAAAACATCAATTTCAGCTGGCTTCAAATGTGCGTGCGGCCTTGCCACCCTTCTCCGCCATAGGAAGGCATAGCCACTCATCTCCAGCAATATGACACTACATCAGTGATACGTCATTGCCACGCAGTCAGCATCGCCGACCTGAGCATATGTCATAGTGGTGTGGGGAGGAAGAGCAGTTTGCAGTTTGAGGACCATCCTTCCCCTAGTGATAAAGCTGCAAGACTCCTCTATCTCGGAGGCTTTCATTGTGAACACCGCTTGTTCAGATAGTCTCGGGCTCTACAAAACGGCAGAGGGCAGCACACACAGGAAAATAAAAATACAGACTGCGCTGCCGAAACTGCATCACAGCAGGGCCAAGGTGCCATTTCGTAAGACAAAAGACCAATCAACGACCTTAGTGGTACAAAAGTTGCCCATGAGCATGGTTTCATAACTCTGCATACGAGGGAGGATTGGTTGGGCAAATGAAATAGGAGCAAGAATTGTTTTTCGAAGTGGGGGGTCTGCGCTGCGCACAACACTGTAATATTCAGAAAAGATAATGCCACAGTCTGCTGTAAGAACTGATGATCTTGTTAAGAACTGATGATCTTGTTAAAAAAAGTCTGAGCCTGTTTACTGGCCCTTTAATCCTCCAAGTGTGGGAAGTTGTAGTGAATAAGCATTTGCAGTGTAGTTTTTATAATGACTGCTACTGTTCTAACCGCAGGAGTCTTCCCTACATGAAAAATGGCCCAAAATGTCTGTAAAAGCTTCAAACAAGTTTGCTTACTGGAATACAAACACGCTAAAAAACTGTACTCATGATTTTTACTATTACAGAAAAAAAAGAAAACATTATCAAAACAACAGTACCTATGCTTTACACTGTTTACCACACAAATCCTTGGGGCGGCTATAAATCGAGATGAGACTGCAAAATATCACGGTAACTTTACTTCCTTTCTGGCATTTTCCCCCTTTTCAGAAAGCTGTCGTACCTAGTTGATTTTTTTGCAGGAAAAATTCTGTGGCAACCACTCCAATTTTCAAGCACAATCCAAAAAGAAGGTCACTAACTATGGGGGTTTTGTTAAAGGCTTCTAGATAGCTTCCTCAAATGCTTTCGATGCAAAAACAAAGCCCCGTGAGGAATGAATTTCATTTTTCTGTGAACGTACCCACAAATGTAGTACACTGTGTGTTGCCTCTTGGTGCACTATGCTGCACCGGGAAGAAGTAACACTGACAAGTGCCACTTCCTGCGCTCATATTCAGAAATGGGAACACTATAATTAATAAAATGATGTATTGCTGTAATGTGAATGAAGTGTAACAAAACCCAGTCACTGGTAAAAGATGATGATTTTGTTGGTTTACAAGGTAAGTATAATATATTAAAGTAAAAAAAGTACACTGCTTTGAAGGCCGAACAACAGTTGACAATTGATACCGAATGTAAGTGTGATGCAACTCTGAGTAACGATAGCGTTGTTCATCGCTTACCTGTTATTTTGCTGTTCAATTTTTGGCGACTCCACCAAATTAGGCATTGAGCTTTCGAAGGGTGTTGTGCGTTTTGGGGGATATTGGTGCCTTAGTTATGAACATTTTGGCTTTGATAAATAGGGTGGAAATCCTGAAAACAAGCTGGTAGAGTGCAGGGCGCAAGCTCCCACTTTCTGCGTCGGATCAAAACTTTAGCCAGCAAAACACTACGATAGTGCTTCACAATGTCTTAATTCTCAAATTGAAGGTGAAGTCTTTGTGATGAAAAGCTTGCTCCCACCATTTGAATTGCCCCGGCTGCGGGGGCTGCATTTCCGATGGAGGCAGAATATGTTGTAGGCCCGTGTGCTCAGATATGGGTGCACGTTAAGGAACCCCAGGTGGTCGAAATTTCCGGAGCCCTCTACTACAGCGTCTCTCATAATTATATGGTGGTTTTGAGACCTTAAACCCCACACATCTATCAATCAACCATTTGAATTGCGTTGATTATTTTGGTGGTCCGTCACGTTAAACATTCGTTTATACCCAAATCAAGAACAAGTCATGGCATGCAAATGATTCACTTCACGGCGGCGAATTTGAAACTTTAGTTATAATATCTGGTCACTCTCCTAGGTTATTTTTGTTGGAAGTTACAGCTACTTTTCAGTGTGTGTCTTGATCATGCTCTGAAATTACGTTGTCGCATAAAAAACCGTCTTTTCACCTATAAGTTATATTTATGAACTGTTTGTTATTTGACACAATGTTAAAAAGCCGGTTTTGCGGAAATTCAGGTGGCGGTGTCGGTTTTGAGCTTAAAATCTTATCCGTGATGAAAAAAATTTAAGATTGTGTCAATAGAATAATAAACTTCAGTACTAGTTAAAATTGAACCCAGGCTGTCTGCATGACGATCACATGTTCTAACATAAAGCCACGCCAATGATCGAACTTGATAAAGAAAAAAAAAAACATTATGGCTCATGTAGTAAAAGTTCTCATTAACATTGCATCTTATAAAGAAAACAAGCCCATAAGTTTACACTTCTTTTCTTATCTCTTTCGCTGCTGTGCTTATTCAAATCGTTCAATTTGA